CATATGGTCTTAAGCAAATCGACCAATCACAGTTTAGCGTATTAAAATGTGAATCGTAATCTTGATTGTGATTGGTCGATTTACTTAAGATCTTAAGATTACTACTAAAATTTTTGTACGTGTATGGGCCTTCTACAATAAGCCGTAAGTCACAAATCATAAGTCATAAGCTAGAAATGGACCAATCACAGTCGTCAATGTTTAGTTTCTTACTTCCGATTTATGACTTATGGCTTATTGTAGAAGGCCCATATAATGGCCTTAACAATTGTTACGCGCAGCATGTTTTTAATTTTAAGTAACGGGCATAATATTTTTAATTTTAAGCAATTTTTTGTAATATTTCTATTGTAAATGTGTTTTAATATTATTTTAAATGTATATTTACTTCTGACTCTAAGGCCGGAATCAGACTACGCATTGAAGATTGAGATTGAAGATTGAAAGATTGAATTTTGGCTAATCAGAATAATAGGAGTTAAAATTTCTTTATCCTCTCATTGGTTAAATTTCAATTTTCAATCTTCAATCTCAATTTTCAATGCGTAGTCTGATTCCGGCCTTACTTCGCCCTTTTAATTTATGTTGAATATTGTTATATTAAGATCTTGTTATATAAGTTCTTGAATATTTTCATCAAAATTAATGGCATTATTTTACCTTGATTTATTTAATGTATAGATTAGACATCATATTAATTAGGAATTACGCGATCGACGTAATCTGTAATTTTTTCAACTCCAATTTGTTTTCCACGTGATTTATCTACCATTAATAGAAAAAATAACTTCTGCATATCACTTAGAGATATGCTTTCAACTTCATTTTCACTATCGCTCGAGTCGGAACTGTCATCGGAACTTTCATCATTTTTCTTTAAAAGTATTAAAGAAGAAATTACAATTATTGGAAATTGTTTATTGACGTCTTGTATATAGCGTCTATCTTGAACTCGCATAGAATGCATAGGAAATCGTTCCGAATAACTAAAGCGCTTCATGCGCATTGATTAAACGGAACGATTTCAAAGCGTAAAGCAGGGAGCACAGACTTTTGCATAACGCATAAATCATATACATAAACAATTTGATTGGTCCATTGACTCATGCATAAGAAAATGGACCAATCAAATTGTTTATGTATATGGTTTATGCGTTATGCAAAAGTCTGTGCTCCCCGCTTTACGCACCAGTAATGCAGGGCTGCGTTCCAAAACCTTACTCTGAGTAAGAGAGTTAACTCATGGTCGTTCCGAAACACTGCGTAATGTACTATATGGGCGGAGTCTATTCGTTCCAAAACTCATAGTCAATGTACACAGAGTCAACTCTTCCAACCTTGCGGCTGAGGTGGGTTGGAGAGTTAACTCTCATGGTGGAAGTATACATGGTGTGCTCAGTTGGTTTAGTGTCTCTCTCGAAAATCATTTGTCTCGCTTGCTTTCTGGCTTCGAAGAGCTGAAAGGGTACCAACCTTAAAAAAGTTCCTAGAATCTCGGGAGAAAAGTCTGTTATGTTGCCTAATTTTCGTTAATTATACTCGAAAATGCCCAAAACTGAGTGTACAGTCGGGGACTAAAAGGTTGCAACGCTTTTTAGTTCCATGGTTTTCGGAACGCGCAAAAATTCTGACAGAGCAGTGCAGCATCTCTGAACGTTTATATTCAGTGTTATGATAGGTTACGATAAAGCGGGGAGCACAGACTTTTGCATAACGCATAAACCATATACATAAAGAATTTGATTGGTCCATTGACTCATGCATAAGAAAATGGGCCAATGAAATTCCTTATGCACATGCTTTATGCGTTATGCAAAAGTCTGTGCTCCCCGCTTAAGTCTCAAAGTGATAGTAAATCGTCTTGTACACGGTGAAATGAAAAAAATGTATTTGGCGCAGCGGACAATTCTTAAGATACCCTTCGGATACCATAAAATATATCGTAGTATAAAATATATAAGTAATAATGAAGTAAACGCTAAATTTGTTTTATAAATTTATTTATATTTTCAAAAATAATAAATAATAAACAATAATTATTAACATTAATAATTATTTTGAATAATAATAAACACAGCAATAATACAACAATAATTATTTTTAATAATAATAAATAATAATATACAACGATTGATTGCTTTTTTGTCGGGACAATCAATTCCAGCAAGCCTGTGATATTGAAGCAAGTGGAAGAACTTTACGCATCCTTCGCCTACGCATCTACCTCCGATGCCAACAATTTTTCTGCACATCTCCAGAGGAACAGGAGAATCGACCATCTAAATTCCATCGAAATTACGTATTAATATAATAATTTATTTCATGATATTGTATTTGCTGATATTTTATATTTTAATTATGTATTTTTAATTTACAGTAACGCATTAATTAAGTTACATATTTCTACCTGCAACGTCGATGAGTATATAATAACAGCAATAGACTTCGTTAATTCTTTACTGGGCATAGGATACTATGATTCTATTAAGTAAGTATTTAATATAAAAAATAATATAAATAACTTATATACTATGTATACTATATATGCTGTATATATAATAATATATAAATAACTTTAATATATACTATTTTATTCAGAATATCTTACCAAAGACGAATGCTGCTTAGATGCCGACAGGAAGCAGATATAGTGACGGTGAGATGGTGGTGAGATGGTGTTTTTAATTTTAAGTAACGGACATCATGTTTTTAATTTTAAGCAATTTTTTGTAATATTTCTATTGTAAATATGTTAACATTTTAATATTATTTTAAATGTAATTTACTTCTAACTCTTACTTCGTCCTTTTAATTTTTGTTGAATAATTCCATTAATTTTATCTTGGCTTACTTTCGCCATATCCTCTTCATTTAAAAATAAAGTTAATACTTCATTTTTATCCTCTAATAAGACCGGGAAATCATGCAATTGCTGTAATCGCTGTTCCATCGCAAATCGCAAATATTCGTCCGTTCATTGTTGTATTGTCCGGTACTCGTTGCTCGTTCCGAATTACAAATCATGCGCATAGACCGCATGAACGCATCAGACGCATCAACTGCCTCAGGTCGAAAGAGAAGCAGTCAATGCGCTGAGTGGAGTGCTAAGAATTCAGTACGGTTAGTACAATCTGGGGAATTCAAGTACTCTCGAAGCGCTTTCGAAGCGCGCAATAGTTAACTCGGAACGACTTTCTATGCAGTCTACGCGCTTCATGCGCGACTCGGAACGCACCCAGAGAGAAATAGATTAAGATCGTAGTTGGTAATGCGCATGACAGTAGGGAGGGAATGCGCGCGCAAGCGAATTATACATAGCTGTCAGCTGCAGTATACATTTGATATATGAATTTAAGGTTAAAGTGAAAAGACTAATAAATTTCAATTTATAATAAGAAAAACATTTAAGTGACAGCCAAGTGATAATTTATACATTTATTAAATGATGAATAAAAAACGTCTTTGAGTGCTAATGATAAATTATATTTATTTATTGGTTATTGAACAATATAAGTTTTGTATATTTGTGCCTGATATAATTATCTTTTTCACAAATTTGTTTATTCGTATAATGGATTCGAATTTTTAGATATTAAAGAGTAATTACGAAAACTAAATTATAGTTAATGTGGTCCTGGACAAAAGTATGAATGGGCCCAAAGCTCAATAATGGCCAGTTTCCGAGTTATTCAACTCTAAAGTTAAATAAATCTGTATTTTCGGCCCACTATTTTTAAATTACACAGTTACATAAAATTAAGAAAGTGACATGTGCCAAAGACTAGACCTATGTTTTCTTAGGTATTTTGACGTGCTGAATCCAAATCAGGGATCAAAATTGACCGCCACTATGTCAATTTTTTTTAAATCGTGAAAAACCACCCTTGAAAATGGAAAAAAATTTTACCTTTAAGTAATCTTTTCGAAGAACCTCATATAAAACGCGACAAGTTTCAGGAATTATGTGAGAAATTGTACATGCTAGGATCCTTGTTGAATATTCTCAACTTCTATAACTTTCACTCGTAGCCAGAAATCTCAAAGTAAGCGATAATCTAGGAGTTTCTAGAAGATATATATTGTCTCATGTTAGTATTTTGACGTTGAATGTATATGGTGTTACCATTTCTACAAGTCGGTCAAATAAATCATTTCTCATCCTAAAGTATTTTTCAAAACATACATTATCCTCTCTTCTTAATTCCTCATGTGCAAGATGAACAATTTTTTCGAAGAATCCACTGTCGAGTCCAAATTGATCTACGTTGGTGTTTTCGTTGATGATTTCTCATTGATTCTTCCTTTCTTTTTCTTTCTACTGCTTTAGCTATTATAAAGCAATAGCGATCAATTTCTTAAATTCCTTACGCAACATTAGGTATATTAAAAAATCTAAAAATTGAAAAAATTATATTTGTTTTTTGAAGAAAAGTAATATAGAAAATAATTTCATAAATTATGGAAATATATATTTATACTTGCAGGTAATTATGCAGAAAACGGCCGATCTCACCGATTTTAATGAAACTAAGCTCATTCGACGCTTATTTTTGCCAGATTCTTTCGTTTCGTGCAAAAACGCGTGACATAAATTTATATATTCGGGTGTTAAAGAGAGGAAAAACATCGCCATCTGTAGTTATCCGAGTCAAATCAGTTAGTAACAAAAACTTGGTCCGAGAACTCGGTCCAAGTTATAGCATCGTGGACACAAGCCTTTATGCTGGATTTACACTGGACGCAGCAAGCATCAAGCAGCGGAGCAGCAACCAACCAGCGTGGCGAAAGAAAACAGAAATTGCGACTTTTCCGGCTAAGACCATTGCTCTCATTCTATAGCGAATACGGAAATTCTAACTCGACGACCTTACCAGAGAGCATAAACCATTACACAATCGCGAACACGATACGCGATGACCTAGTAGCGACAAGGCCGGCGAGCATTCCTCAAAAACAAGTACTAATTCTCAAGATGATTCGAGCGAATCGCACACGGCGTCCAATGAACTTTACTCGCGGCAGCTTTGTTACAGGCGACACTCGACCGACATGCTCTTGGCACGTGCGTGTAATATATTTCACGTTTAGCTCCCGTAAGCATAGGGATATCGTATTTTCACTACGATCATAGCCAATCGCGCGTATTTTTTCATGTGACATGAAAGTACGAGCATGGTGGAAGTATATACTTCCATCATGAGTACGAGAAGTACCACACAATTCTCTGTTTACCATCGTTTATCTCTGTGCCAGCGAAACGATTACACGTGAAACAAATATTCTCAATTATCTTTTTTGTTTAGATGACAATTTCGCAAGCTTAGGATTATTTGTGCACATCATACGCTTTGCGCGAGGGTTTGGTATGTACAACCTACAGAAATTTCTACAATAAATAAATTATAACCTCAAATGATAGCTGTGAAAATAAGTGAACTTTTTTATTTTTTTCTTCAATTTTGTAATCAAATTTAGCGTTACCCATTCATTTTGATGTATACTTTCATCGTGTGAAAAATTTTTATGATCTATAAAACCAATTCGGAGAAAATGGTTCACTGTAATTGTCGGTCATTCCCGTTGTTTTAGGAAAAATGAACGTAACCGAGAAACAAAAAGGAATATTACTTTCCTTTATGCAAAGATATCCCGATTTCGGCAGAGGACGTTTACGATACAATAGTGAAAATAAACGAAAAATTGTAAGAATGTTATAAATATTAATTATTATTTTTATTCTGTTAATTACATTTTCACAAGTGTGCTTTTTTATAAATATTTTTCTTTTATACGGTTTTTGTTTTTAAATGTATTTCTATATTGCTTAAATGGTTATAGGATGAATTTTGGGAAAAATTATCTATAATGTTAAATACTGCAGCATGCGGACCACGTAAATCCTGTAAAGAATGGGCCAAGGTAATTTTCATATTTGGTAATATTTATTATGTAATGAATCCTTAATAGCATAAACATATGAAATTATAAACAATTAATTTCTTTTTATTAATAAATTAATAAGACTGCTATGTACAATATAAATGTATTAAATAAGTAAGAAGATTGCATCATATAAGGTAAATGTACCAGTTAGTGGACATGACCTTATCGTTGGACAAAGTAACAAAAGATTTTAAATATTAAACTCTTAATGATATACAACTCTAAATTTAATGTTTATAAAAATTTAATAACAAATTTATTTAGAATGGTACATATCATTAAAAGCTTAATATTAAACATTTTTTATTACTTTGTCCAATATTAAAGATATTGATGTAATATAATATTTTCATGTAAATTTGGCGTAACTTTCTTTTTTATTTTATCAAATTTTTATAAAATTTGTATTACATATACAAGTTTCCATCAATATAAGACTTTATTTTCGATTCAATTTATTCTATATCTTTCTCTAATTCTAGAAAACGATAAATGGAGTAAGTTAAATCGAGTTAAAGTTATTTTTATATGATAGAAGCGAGCCTTGTTGTATTCACTTACTATATATATTTGTCATGTTTTACTTCTTTAGACATGGAGAGATTGGAAGTGCAATACTTTAAAAAAAGTTGCAAAACATAAGAGTTATATGACAAGCACGGATGGCGGTTCACCAAAATATTTAGAATTAACTGTTATAGAAAAAAAATTTGACACCAGAGGCCAGTGGTTTAACAGGAATACCTGAAGGTGGAATTGAAGATGTAATGTCAAGTTCTAATTATAATGAAATTTCTACTTTGTCATATAATACTGAATTAAATGACACAGAACAAATATTTTTTAATGAAACTTCGAGCATGGATTCATATCGATTGCAATCTCCTATTCTGCATGAAGAATATACACAATTTGATATTAAGGAAAATATTTCGGTATGCATATAAAATATTATAATTATCTATAAATAAAACAATATTATTTATATAATGTTGTTTTAGTTTAGAGAAATATAAATTAATGTTACATATATGTGAATTTTTTTTTATTTACTAGGATTCGATTTCAACGCAATCTTGTATGAAACAAAAAAAGCAACCGGTTAAAGATATTCAAATAAATGCAAAAAAAGAGAAATATTTTACTTCATCATTAACAAATTTACAAGATATAAATATAATGGAAAATGAAGAAAATGTTTTTGTATGTATAAAATATTTTAGATATGTGTGTTTTTTATAATATTTATAATAGATATGTGAGCCCCTTAGTTGCCAAGTGGCATAAGGCTTATGCTTATAAGGCAGTCTTATGCCACTTGTCAACTAAGGGGCTCATGTAATAATACTATTTGATTACGGTTTTAATTGATAGGAACAAAATGGGACAGTAACTTCTATAGGTAACGTAAGGAAATGTATAACTACAAAAAAATTACAAGGTACGTAAAATATCAAATAAATTATAAAATTTAACGTTTTTTATTAATACTTTTCTACATTATTTAGATGTAAAAAAACCACGACTTATGGCAACTGTCATTGATTTATTTGAAAAAAAATCTGTTAAGTCCGACAATATTAAACAAAAAATGTAGGAATTAAAAGAAAAAAACGTCGAGTTGAGAAAAGAAAAATTAACTGTTCATAAGGAAATTCTGCAAGAGTTAAAAAATATGAATAATAATCAACTATCACTTTTCCGAGAAGAAGTAGTTGGACAATATCTACAAGAATAATTTTGAAACATCATTAAAGACATTCATGGATTATTTGATCATTCAATATCAAATATTATTTATTATGATAAACATCAGGCATCGTTATTTTCATACACAGTATTTTTTTCAAAACTGTATTTCGTTTTAAGACTTAATTCTTTAAAATTTTGAGGGTACAACAGGATAAGACATCTTATAACTTTTAATTTTAGATACAATAAGTCTGTTTATAAAATATGTGATTATTGCTGTGATTACATATAATAATTCGTTTTGTAGTTTAGATAAGTAATGTATTTGTTGAGTTTTCTTTATTTTATTAGTTTAAACAGTCTAATATACTTTTACCTTAATATTATATTTTTCTAAAGAATAGGCTATTATTTCTTTAACTCTCATCAGATACAATGAACACATTTTTTATGATACCTGACTTTCTTTGATAAATCAATACTTATTTTAATAATTATTGGATTCAGTATAATTATTGGAAATTCCGGAAACAATTCCGGAATTGTTCGTAATCGTTCGAAATCAAATTAGTATTGTATATTGTTTAAATTATAACTAACATATTTGTTTAAATTATAACTAACATATTGACTCTATTTGCCTGTATACCAATGTATATGTATTATATGAATACATAGGTTTTTTATATATTGATTAATATATTATTATGTTTTTATTAATAAAATTTGAAATATTTATTTAAAACTCTAGAGTTGCTGTACCAACATTGGATCATATCAATAGCAAGAAATGACACGACATTAAATAAAGTTTCTTACACGCCGTTTGTGTAATAAATAAAGAGAATTTTGGTAAAACAAAAAGCTATCTTTAATAGTAAATAGTCGTAAAAAGGCATAAGAAATGCATTTATCAGCATTTAGGGTATATTTACACAAACTTGCATAGCCGCATAAACATATGCATAAAGAAAATTATCACATTTTACGTACGTCCTTATGACGGAAATGTGATTGGATAATTTTCTTTATGCGTCTATGTGATTGTGCAAATTGTGTGCAGGGCCGCCGTAAGCGGGCGTGCAAAGCGTGCACTGCACGCGGGCGGCACGAGCAAGGGGGCGGCATTGCCGCTGCCTGCTCGTGCCGCCGAGCGCCGCAAGCAAGCAACTGTTTCTTATTTGTCGCGCAATTGTTTAGGATTTCCCGATTCCTCGTGCAGTAGTCGACTTTTTTTTTGTTCATGATTCGCAACATTTCTTTTATTTCTCTATTCATTTCTCGTATGATCAAGTTAATTTGTTAAAGTGATTAAAAAAACCTTCATTGTGCTGTCTACAAATAAATTCATCTGTGAAAATAATGGTATGTATCTAATAAATGTTTTCTTCTTTATGATATGTTATTAAGTTGAGCATGCGTTTCTTTATTCTTATGATTCACCAAAATCAATTGTATAATAAATACTATAAAATAATAAAAAACAAACGAAATTATTATACAATTCTCAAGTGTTCTTTTCTATTATCTGTCCGTTCGTCCATCCATCACATAACTGTAAGTAAAACTATTTGACGGATGGGATTGAAATTATTAATTGCTGAAGTTAAAAAACTACATCATAAAAATATTTTTCTATACTATACAATGAATATCAAAATTTGGGAGAATAAAGAAAACATATCTCATACGATAAAATTATTTTTATTCATTATTTGTCAAGTTTTAAGAACATTATGTACAATGCACACTTTGTTGAATTTTTAGTATTCGTGTTAATAATATGAAATATTAGATCATTTAGATTTAAAACAAATAATTGCAGATTTTGCAAAATTAAAGGCCAGGAAAGTTCAATTTATTTGAATTGAAATACATATTAATATATCTATATTAATTAATTTATTTTGTGTTTTATTAACTTTCCAACATCTGAAACCTATTTCATGTAAGTAGTCATACAAAATTTTATTTTGAAAAAATTTAGCCACGAGTCAGTCGAAATAAGGGGCGGCAAAATCGAGCTCGCACGCGGGCGCACTTACGTCTAGCGGCGGTCCTGATTGTGTGAATATATCCATGATTTATAAAATAGACCCAGCATGCCATTTTAGATAGAAGTGAAGCCAACATAACAATAATAGTTGCATATGTATAATTATCGGATTATACATAGGGATTTCATATAAATCTTATAATGATTTCAGGAACTCTATCCCACGATTACATAAAAGTGGTTATCCCCTCGCTCTCCGTTCTACTGGCTTCACTTTTATCACAGGGGCATGTTGGGTTTATCTTACAAGTCTATGGATATTCCTTACTCAATGTGCATGCATATCCTATTTTCACTTTATAAATTTTTTCTATGACTAATTTACTGACTCTCAGGGCTACGTTCGGAAATTTTATCCGAGTACCCGAGTATATCATATCTTACTTTTATGTCTTGTGAATAATAAAGGTAGAATGACACGTTAGAGCACTCGAGTGAAGTTTCCGGACGCAGTTCCGGAGGAGTTATAGAAAATGAGAGAGAGAGAGAGAGAGAGAGAGAGAGAGAGAGAGCTTATAGTAGCTGAACTTTTTACAATTCAGTATCTTGAATACTATATAACATCAATTTTAAAAGTTTAAATCTTGAATTATAGGGATCTAAAATTTTAATGATAGTTAATTTCTACACTTTGGTTGTACGTGGAGTAATAGTTTAATTCAAAATTTTTAATGAGAACTTTAATACAAAATTACATGTTCGAGTTCTATAAAATAACAATTTAGTTTACATCATAAAAATTTTTTGTCACGTTTCTATTTGTAAATATTACTTATATTTATATATTTAGTTGTTCTTCAATTTAAAATAATCTTATCTATATTATTTTCGGCTCGTAGCCCTTCGATTTATGTATTTATTTAATTTATTAATTAAGCCATTTGAGATATCATGTTTGATAATATAATCACTTTGACAATGAAATTCAATAAAAATATGTATAAAGGACTCTTGTTAATAAATAAATTTAAATGTAAATAAAGGGCATAAAAGTTAAAAATTAAAATAATCTTAAATGTCAAAAAAAAATTTTTTTATGATATATATAACGAATTTAAGTAAAAACATTTATTTTATCTTCGTTTATACCATAAAAATTTTTTTTTTTTTTGACATTTAAGATTATTTTAATTTTTAACTCTTATGCCCTTTATTTACATTTAAATGAAATTCAAATAATACATGTATATACTGTTAAACAACGATAGAATTATTATTGTATATCAATATAGACAATATTCAATAATCGTTAACACGTAAATAACATTCGACCTCGAGTTTGACCGCGAGAAAAGCGAAAGCGACGATAACCGAAATTACAGAGCTAGAAAATTCGAAAAACACTACACAACGGATTCACACAATAATGTATTTCGTAGTGTATACAGAGGGTGCATTCCACTTAGGGTGCGTTTCACTTGGCGCTCATAATGCTTGCGAGCGTTATTTGTCTTGTTTAACATTTAATAAACAACAAGGATGAAATGATTCCATGAGCGTTGCGAGCGTCAAGTGGAACGCACCTTTAATGTTCGCAACGCTCGTAAGCATCATTTCATTCTTGTTTAATTTAAAAATGATAAGGATGAAATGATGCTCGCAAGCGTTGCGAACGTTAAGTGGAACGCGCCCTCGATATACACTACGAAATACAATACAATATAAACGTGATCCGCTGTGACTCGGCAAACGTGCGAATATGTGCCACGAAATTCACGAAACCTCCGACAACGAAATCGGCGGCTTTACAATTTTAGAGCGTTCGACTCACCAAAGGGATCCTTCTCGATCTCACTCCCGCTGCGACTCTCACGACTCGTTCTGCGTCCTCCGTCCAGTCGTTGTCGTCGCCGCAGCCACAGCACTTCCTCTTCTTGATTAATGACTTCTGCCTGTATGCGGAGGCAACAAGGCCCGATCACGATTTTTGTAAATTACGTCACCCGGTGAAAGCACCCGATTCGAAACGCGTCCATCTCGGTCGAGTGATTCTTCGGAACTGGTTGGCGTCACATGGAGCGAAAACTAAACAGAAAAATGAGACCAATTAGAACTCTGCAATCATAACTCTGCTTTCCTTTCCGCGATTGTGA